GCACTGTTGCTGCTAAGTCCTGCAGTTCTATTTGGCGTTGTCTGGGTCTCTTGAGACGCTCTGAAATCCCATTCCAGATATGGGAAGCTTTTCCTTAAATTATTGCCCCATTAAAAACATATCAACAGACAGTACAGTGAGGTAAGTCCTGAATTGTTCTGCCTTCCTTTCCATGCTATATCAAGAGTGACACCCCACCCCCGGCGAAATCAATGGTGTGATGTCATTTTTAGATCTATTAGGACACAGCTCTACAACGCCTCACAGAATCAGGGTCTCAATTTGTAGAAATGAGCAGGGAAAGAAAGCAGGACAGGAAAGGATCTGATGGAAAAAAACAACGAGAAAGAGTTATGGGTACTGAATGGCAATTGTGACAGGCTTGTTGCCCCGGGGGGCTGGGGGGGGCATGACACCCCCTAGTGGTCCTGTCACTCCTGCCTGGCTCACACTAATACCACTCTCCCTGCATTACTCACCTGCCACACCTTGTTCTCAAATAAGATAGGCTGATTCAGGGAAGCTGCCAAGAGGCCTTAGAGTGAACCCTAATCTTAGTGAGTTCCCCCTGGGTCTCCCCTGAGACCCCACTGGCCTCAAACCAGCCCTCAGGCTTGGTAAGTCCCTCTCAGCCTGACTTGGCCCCTGTAGGGCACCAAGCCTTAAGGGCAAATTGTGCAGCTCCTTCAGCTCCCCTAAACCACGCCCCAAGCCCCACAGATGTTCTCTCTTTGATCTTTCTCTTTATACACTCCCCCCACTTGGGCCCTCAGGCCCCTGGCCCCACACGCAGCCCCTCCTCTGAGCCCGCAGGCTCCTGGGCTCCTTACTGGGCCCCACCCTCAGGCTGAGGCTCCTGGGTTACCAGTTTTCTCCATAGGCCTTGAGTCTGCCCCAGCAGGGCTCAAGAGTAAACTAAAAGTTTAAATCGAATGAATAAGAAACATCACTGCTCTCTAGCAGATATCTCAGTCCCTCTAGGGGTTTAACATAAAGAAAGGCCACTGGCCTGTAAACCCAGCCTTTCACAGTCCACAGACCTTGCCTCTATTCCCAGGTCTGCAGGGTTGTTCAGCCCCCAAGTCCAGGCCCTTTCAGGAATGCTGCAGCCAAGAGCTCCTCACTGCATGGTAGCCGAAGAAAGACTATCTGACCAGGGCAGGCTCTGGGCTTATATAGCTCCAGCCTGAGCCCTCTTCCGCTCAGATGAGTCCCTCATTAGCTCCCCTCTGCCACCTGCAAGCAGTCTCTTGGGCTGCTTGCTCTCTTCAAGGAGTAGGCACATTCCAGTGTCCTGCTAGTCACACATTAAATAACACATGAGGAGTGCATTATATTCATGAGCGACTGGTGCCTCCTGAATCTGGGGCACCTGATTGCTGAGCAGGGGGAGGGTCCCCCGGTGGCTAATCGCAGAGCGGGGGGGCTGTCCCCCACCAATTGCTGAGCCTGGAAACACTGCCAGTGAAACTGGAAGTGCTGCTGGGGGGCCAGCCCTCCACCCCCACCCCCCCGTTGGTACACCACTACAGGTGGGTATGTTCAGCACCCGCTGATGCCTCTGGCAGCGCTGACAGTGGGGACGGCCCTATCAGGGGGGCATGTGCCCCCCTGTACCCTCTTACACATCGCCTATGATTATACTTGATGGTTTCATAGATTTTTAAGGCCAGAAGACACCATCACATCACCTAGTCTGACTTCCTGGATAGAACAAGCTAGAAAAGATGACTTCATGACCCAGGATTGATTGGTTTTACATTGGTTTTACATCCAACCACTGGAACATAAACAGGTCTATAAGCCAGGATCAGAATCTAGGTCCTCTCAGCAGAGAGCCCAAACCACTAGACCACCAAGTAAAATTTCCTCTTCTTCTTACTCCATGCCTCTTGAGTTCTTGGCTGCCCTGAGGTTAAGGTTCAACAGGAAGGGTAGAGGCAGGGCTGGACACAGGCATGAATGAACCGAGTACCCGCCCACGGCCTGGACAGAAAGGGAGCCTGAAAATAGTAATTATTATTATTATCTCTGGCAAAGGGGGACTCAATACTAAAAGTTTGCCCGGGGTTGCCAGGAGTCTAGGTACAATGCAGATGTTGGAGGGATTGAACTCCCTCTACACAAGCTGGAGTGGGCTTAAAACACAAGGTTCCCAACCTCCTTCTCTAACAGCAAAGCTCTTATAAGCAGCGGGTAGCACCTCCATGCTTTGTTGTTGAGTGAATGTGGGCGTGGCTGCCGTGCTTTATACTGAACTCAGTAATGCTGGTGTGTGTTGTGTGTGTCAACAAGCAGGCCTCTTAGCTGATGTTTTGTCTTCACTATATTTATAACACAGCTGGCTAGATTCATGGTAACATGGATGCACTTGCTCATGGTGCAGTAGCCACTAGGGCTAGGTGAAATTTTGCCCGGCATTTCATTTCATAGCTGTTTCGATGTGTTTTGACCTTGAAACAGTGAAATCGAAATGAAACAAATGCCTTTGAAATGAAACAAGGGAATTCAAAAAGTTTTGAAAGTTTCTAAATGTTTCAAATTTCAAAGCCAGGCTTACTGGTTTCAGTGCGGGTCCCAGCCAGCAGCACCTACCTCCAGTCTTCTGGCAGGCAGATGGGGGCGCCCCACACCCCCAGGAGGCCTACAGGTGCTGTACCAGAGTCCTTCTAGGGGTGCAGGCCCCCAATCTGCCTGCCAGATGACAAACCAGCGCTGGGCACAGCTCACACACAGCACCGGAAAGATCAGTGCTGCCGCTGGCCCTAGGCAGCAGCACCCAGCTCCTGTCAGCCGGCAGGCAGATCGGGGGCATGCACCCCCAAGAGGACTCTGGCCCAGCCCCCACAGCCCTCCTGGGGGTGCCAGCAGGCCCCTGATCTGCCTGCCAGATGACAGGAGTAGAGCTGGAGCAGATCAGCTGGGGCAGGGACCTGCTGTCCTGATCCCGGGGTTGGGAGCATCCTCGCACCAGCTGATCTGCCCTAGGCCCCCATCTGACCGGCTCTGGTACTGGGTGGGGCAGGTCAGCTGGTGCAGAGACCACTGCCCTGATTCCCGGGCAGAGGAGCATCCCCACACTAGCTGATCTGCTCCAGGCCCCCATCAGGCCGACTCCAGGTAAGGGCCCGCAGTGGCGACACACAGGGGGTGCACGGGGGTGTATGTGCACCCCCTGAGAGTTCCGGTGCACCCCCTGACCAGCCACGCTCGCTGCTTAGGTGATGGGCAGGGAGGGCAGGTGAGAGTGCTGGTGCCCCCCGCTGCAAGCGCCGGCCAATCACTGCAGCCGCTCCCAGAAGTGGCTGGGGCCGCCTCCAGGAAAGGCGGGGCAGCCACTTCAGTAAGTGGCTGCAGCAGTTGGCCTCAGCAACAGGCCGCGGAAGTACCCCCGGGCAGTGGGATTGGCTGTGGGGGGACACCCCTGGCAGTGAGATCATGGCAGATCAGCTGGTGTGGGGATCAGGAGGGTGGGTCTCTGCACTAGCTGATCTGCCTCGGCCTCGTAAGGGAGCCGGCTCCAGGTGAGTATGGGGCCCGGGGCAGATTGGCTCATGTGGTGACCCTCCCCCGCCCCAGTATCCAGGCGGGAAGGATCCCCACACCAGCTGATCTGCCCCGGCCCCGTAGTGGAGCTGGCTGGAGGAGGGTGTGGGGCCTGGGGCAGATCAGCTTGTGCAGGGATCCTCCCCACCCCGGGATTGGGGCGGTGGGTTCCAGCACGAGCTGATCTACCCTGGTCCATGCTGCTGGCCCCAGGCAGCAGCACCCGTCTCCTGTCAGCCAGCAGGCAGATCGGGGGCCTGCCAGCACCCCCAGGAGGGTTGTGGGGGCTGTGATGGAGTCCTTCTGGTGGTGCAAGCCCCCAGTCTGCCTGCCAGGTGACAGGAGCCGGGTGCTGCCGCTTGGGACTGATCTTCCTGGCGCTGGTCCCAAGCAGCAGTACCTAGCTTCTCTGGTGTGGGCGAACCCCTGATCTGCCTGCCTGCTGTATTTTATGTTTCCATATAATAACTATGGGCGAAACAGCGTCAAAACAGCAAAACAGTTTCAACAAAACGAAATGGAACAGTGGCTTTGAAACAAAACAAAACTTGAAATGAAACACTGTTTTGTTGAATCGTTGAAACTGAACCCGAATCGGAACAGTGCTGTTTCGCACAGCCCTAGTAGCCACCCCTCTGCCCCAGGCTTGCAGTGCAGACAAAGCCATGGAGGGAAAGATATCACCAAGTAATGACACAAGAATGCTTCTTATTAGATAGCATAGACTGGGTCCACTTCTGCTACCCACCAATCCATAAGGATGTTGGAAAGTTCAGAAAGGTTCAGAAAAAAGCCACCCCATCACCTAAGGTGTGGAAACCCCACCTTCCTATGAGAAATTAAATTTAGGATGTCCAAGAGAAAGTTTAGAGGTTACTTGATCAAGGCCTATGGGGAGTGAGAAAAGCAAGAAAGTTTCTGAGAGATTGCAGCCCTCAGTTCAGTAGGCAAGAGTGGAACAAAAAACAACAGATGCAACTAAAGTAAGCCAATCAAACCATAAGAAAGGACCAACTTTTAACTGGTAACAGGAGTTATCCTTCAAGATCACCGACAAAGAGGTGGGAGTGAATCTCCTTATGTTGGGACTCACTAGATTGAGACTGTCTCTTTCTAAAGGATCCACTTCGGATTATCCAAGATTAGGAGCTAGATGCAAGACTCACTCGATTGTGTGTCTTCCCTGGATTGTGCCGCATCCCAGACTTAATGGTCCATCCAGTACCTTTTAATGGGAGTTCTCTGTTCCCAGTAGGGTCCAGGTCAGCCCCCAGTGACTTTGTGACAGGTGAGTGTACCTCTGCTCCCCGTAGCAGGACTGAGATCAGGGGGAGGAAGCAGGCTGCCATCTGATGGCTCTTGCCTCATGGAATCCTACACGAATATTGATATGATGGGAAACTATCAAAGGAGCAAGGTGGAATCCAGCAGAAGGCAGCTGTTTTTAGATATGATTACACAGGCATTTTATTGCCAGCCATTTTTCTCAGTGCCCTTTGCACATCCTTGTTCCTCAAGCTGTAAATCAGGGGGTTCAGCATGGGGGTGACAAGTCCATAGAACACAGCGATGAGCTTGTCCTGGTCAGAGGCAGATTTGGCCTGTGGGCGAATATACATGGATATGGCGGTACCATAGAATATACTGACCACAGTCATGTGAGAACTGCAGGTGGAGACAGCTCTGCTTCTGCCCTGGGCTGAGCGAATGCGAAGCATGACCATGCCAATGCGGATGTATGTCACAAGGATGAAGGTGAAAGGCATGAGAAGTGTCAGGACCCCACTGGAGAACATCACAATGAGGTTGAGGTGGGTGTCAGAGCAGGCCAGTTTCAGCATAGCCAGAGCTTCACAGGAGAAGTGGTTGATGATATTGGGCCCACAGAACTGAAGTGGAAATGCAAAGGTGGGAATCACTGTCAGCAGAAATGCACTGGTCCACGCACTTACTACCATCTGTATACACACTCTTCTGCTCATGATCAGAGTGTAGCGCAGGGGCTTACAGATAGCCACAAATCGGTCATAGGCCATGACAGCCAACAGGAGGCACTCTGTCACTCCCAGGTAGAGTGAGACCATCATCTGGGTGTAGCAGTTAGCAAAGGAGATGGTGGGTCGGTCTCTAAAGCAGTTTGCCAGCATCTGGGGGGCAGAGATGGAGGAGTAGCAGATGTCGAGGAAGGAGAGGTTGCTGAGAAAGAAGTACATGGGGGTGTGTAGCTGTGGGTCAGCCCAAATCATGGCCAGGATGAGTCCATTTCCCAGCAGTGTCACAAGGTAGATAAGCAGTAACAACCAGAAGAACATGGCCTGTGCCCAGGGGTAATTGGACAGTCCCACTAGTATGAACTCTGTCACCAGTGACTTGTTGGCTCTTTCCATTTCACTGCGTGGGATTCACCTACAGGGACAGGGAAAGGAAAAGGAATGAGGGGCTGGCAAAAACAGGGCAGATGATGGATGCCCCAGAAGACTGATCTGAGCCCACAGGCTCGGTTTGGCAGGTGAGAAGACATTAGGGCACCCCTTCCTGACCAGGACATTCCCTCTTGCTCCAGGCATGTGATCATGCTGCCACTGAGGTAAGTGGCACACCCAAAGTATGATATTCCCATGTGTGCTGTTTCTTCTGCTTATTCTTACACGTTCCCAAATCTGGACATGTGCTGGAGAAGACACTCTGGGGTGTCCCTGTGTTGCTACTTATGAGATCTTGTTCTCCAGCATGCATGAGACCAACTCCTGCAGAGAACACAGGAGTGCTTTCACCACCATGTTTCTAGCCTTGCCACATGAGAATGGGACAAGGAAGGGGGCCATCCTAAGGGCTGTCTTGGGTGAAGCATGCTGCTGCCATAGTGTAGACACACCCTGAATGGTTCTCTGCAGCCAAGGGTTGTAACCTGTAGGGTGTTGGGGGTCTGTACTCTTGGTGCCAGAGCATAGATGGATTCTGAGGGAAGAAAGGGGTCTGGAATCTCACAGACTCATGAAATCCTGAAAACAGAATACCTCACCCCTCACAACCACTGATGGCCTCCCCTCTTCAGACCCATTATTCTCCCATTGCAGTTGTCGAAAAGCAACATGTCCTGTGACAATGTCCCAGTCTCAAACACCGAAAATTGAAGCAGCTGATCACTTATACCCTGCTGGCTGAGTCTCACTTCTCGACTGCTCATCACTATTCTGGGTATGAGCAAGCACAAAGCCCGTCCACAATTGATTCATTGATGGAAATTGGGGTGTTGTCTCTCTTTCACCATGTAGGTGTCCTTGTTGTAGTACATAGTGACCCTAAATGAAGTGGCTAAGCTATCCCAAAGGGGACTGAATGGAATCAGGAGATACAAAGATCCTTTCCCCACACCAGTTATGGTACATATTTGTGAGAAACTCTAGAGCATATTGGCTTCAACTTCTAAAGCTAGAGCCTATTTTGACCTAGGCTAGACCCAAAACCCACTCCCACCTCCCACACTTCCCAGTAACTATTGGGAAGGCATCATCCTCCTGGATTCTGAAAGAAGTGACAGGTCTAGTAGAACAGATAAAACCCCTCTTGACCCAGGGCACAATCAACCATCCCCTGCTTGAGAGCACTGTCTAGGCTGAAATTTCCCTGTCTGGTCTCCTCCTAAACACAAATGCTTCCACAGCCTTTGGGTTTGCTGGATTGTCTCACGTCTAGCACAAAGAGAAGGAGGCAATACACACCTGTGTTGATAATTCTGGAGGAACCCAGAGCTTAATCAGTGTGGTGGCAATGTAACTACTGGCCACTGTCCCCAGTGGAGATCACACTGTCTATACACAAAGAAAGCCCATCCAGACTGGCCTCAGCAGTGGGGTAAGCAATGATGTGGGTACAGATGCCCTGGTAGTATGGGCAGAGGTCACTACCAGGCTCCCAGTGTTGTCACAGCCTTTGCACAAGACCTGTGCAGCAATGCTTGTTGTGGGTGTGGGGAGGGAACTAGAACCATGGGTCCCCTGTTGTTGAGGGATCTCCATCCATGTGGTTCCTGATGAAGTATCTGGAATGTGACAGCTGATTTCATTCCTCACCCAGGCTTGATGGTGCAGAGCACCCCCAAGACTCTCTGCCTTGAGGGGGGCGGGGGGGCGGGGGGGGGGCATCTAAGGGCTTTCATCCCAGTGAGTCAAAGTAAGGCGTAGAGTGGGAAGCTTGCTACATCCTCAGACCTGCACACACAAGGGTCCCTGCATGAGCACAGTGTCAGGCTGCAAAGGCAGAGGAAGGGGAGTGTCCTCTACATTGTTCCCTTAAACCGGAGTAGTTTGGCTTGGGACAGAGGCTGGGAACTCCTGGCAAATCACCATTCAGTCTGCCTCTAGTTCTCCCAAAATAGGGGATTCCTTGGAAGTGCCCACAGCTGACACTAACGAAGCACAATGCATTGGTGGCACTTTCATTCCCATCTTCACCGCACATAGGCTGGCACCACATCTGGATTTGTACCCTGGACAATGAAAAGCACTGTTCTAAACCCTTTGCAAAGATGAGCCAGTAAAAAAAGGACAGTTCCATCCTCCTGAACCTACCACAATGACACCTTACATCCTGCTGCCCAGGGAAAGTGGCTGGGAAGTGACTCACCTTAGTGTTTAGGCCCAGGTCAATCAGCAGCGAGACAAAAGTGACCTCACAGGGGCTGACTGGTGGCGTTGTGAGGCAAACTGAAGTACTCAGATTCTTTGGGCTGATGCAGGAATTCTCATCCTCAGTTTCTCTTCTCTGCTAGACTGAATTACCAGGAATCACTGATCAGTAGCCTTGGTATTTTGCCTGCTGGTTTCTAAATACAGGCAAATGTAGAGGCAATTTGGTTCTATCTGTGAAATGACTTGCTTTCAATGGAGCGATGATGTGGATGAAACCCCAGCCTCAGGACTGAGGGTTGTGTCACTGTCTATACAACAGCCTCCATGGAAGGCTGCCTAGTTCCCTGCATCTCTCCTTGCCTGTGCCAGCCACTCCTGAAGTTTACCTTGCAGCAGTCTGGAGACCTGTGTTATTTCTCTGGTCCCTCTGGCTCTGTTGACTCCACCAATGCAAAGGTGCCAGGTGCCAGTTGTGCCATTTTCACTGTCCTTAAGTAAAGAGCTTAATCCATCCAGAAATCACATTGGAGTTTGGTGGTTTGTTTTAAGCAGAATAGGACACAAATATCCTCTGTGATTCTTCATAGAACCCAAATGCTTCCAGGGGCAGGTCCAGGGAGGGTACTGTGGTAAGGTTGCACCCCTCTTCAACAGGGTAGTTCATGCGCAGTGAGCCCCGTTCTCTTGAAACCTCTTGTCTTGGCTGCTGGTCACACTTGCAGTAACACTGAGTTCTCTGCCACCCCTAGCTCTTCAAACACATAGATCTGCTCCTGAAGGCTTCCTTCCTAGCACACCATCCTCCCATAACACACTTATGGGGGAAAGGGAGAAAGCTGTATCAGGATTCAGGGTTTCCTAAAATATCTGACTCTTTTGTCTCTGGGGCACGATGCATTGTTTTTTGTGGGGTTTTTTTCTTGAAGCCTCAGGGACCCTGTTTCCTACATGCAGTGACATTGCCTGAGAGATGTTCATAGCTTAATTTAGTCTGCACACTTATATTTTCTGAAGCAGAGAAGTCCTTTGCCAAGTTGGGGGTTATTGATACAAGAAATGACCAGTCAGTGTGATTTGTGATCTCTCTTTCATTGTCACAAGACTCGCATCTGAGGAATTAGATCAGGAAAAGATCACCACATTTAGGTTGGGGGTGGGGGCAGGGAGGGCTGAAAGCACCTCTCTGCACTGGAAACACAGGATAATACTGAAAGCTAGAAAGCATTGTGAGATAGAGTTGGTTTACATTTAATTTCAGTAATAAAATAATCAGTAAAAAAAAATAAGTACTTGCACAATGAAAACTGACTTCCCTGCCCCCCTGTGGTCAAGCACTCAGGACCCTTGTACGTGTTGGGTTTTTTTTCCACATTGTCTCAATCTGTCTCCCTCAAAGCAACACAATGGGTATCAGTCTTTCCCATCACTGTTATGCATGACAGGTCAAAAAGTCCAAATTACTCCATGTACTATTCCAAGTCAAATATGGTAGGGATGCTGCATAACAATTTGACCTTGCTGACCTCTTAGTGCTAAATTACAGCAGGGGGCACTGGTGATATGTGATATGTGCAAAATAGCTAGAGTTGCTTAGTTTTATTAATTGACATATTTTGCTTAATTTTAATTTTATTAATTTCATTACTGTTATAATTTAATACTCATATTTTTAAGAAATGTATTCCTTCCTCTTTCTTGGAATTAATCGTTATTTCTTATATTTTTAATGTTTGTAATTATTATATATAATTTATATACTGTGGGCCACCAATTTAGCAAAGCTGTTTGTATGTCTGCTCTTTATTCTGGAGTAGCTTTACCATGGAGTTAACTCCAGGGCACTTTCCTCCACAATATTTCTGTCATGTGCCATGATCCTTAGACTCCTCTTGTTAGATTTTCTTTGTAATTTCAGCTGGATATGGCATTCTTACTGCTAAATCATCCAATTTGGTGTAGTGTTGTTTGGCTCTGTTGAGATGGACCTGAATCCTACTCCAGAATTGTCCAGAATTGTTCTGCCCACCTCCTCATGATATATTAAGAATACTCCAAATGGCCTCCATAGTGTAAGACCAGGTTGAGTAGTACCAGGACCCAGACCTACAAAGACTCACAAAATCAGGGCCTTCATTTGTAGAAATGAGCAGGCAATGAAAGCAGGAAGGAAAAGGGGCCAATACAAAATCAAGCTGTCTAGCCTGTCTTCATTGCACAGGGCAGGAAACTACACTCAGTTACCCAGGTCTGTTCCTCTTTTTATCCAATTACTGTTTTATGTAAAGCACATCATCCACACTAGTCCTAAGGATCAGAATCCAGGTCTCCCTTTCACAGGCCTTAGACTACAGTCAGACTACCTCTTACTTGATCTTCATATTATCCTAAGACTCTTGAATTCTTGGTGTACCATGGTCCAGCATCAACAAGAAGTGGGGAGGATGCTCCTCCCAACTATATTATATTCTGGCAGGTAGGCAATCAAGAGATTGGGTTTGACCCCATCTGTCTGAAGAGGGCTTACACCCCACATTTCACATTTCCTGAGTGGTTGTTATAATCATAGGGTTCTTGAACAAATGTTGTGCCGTACCTTCTGCCCGGTGTTGAGTGAAAGTGGCAGTGGCTGCTTTGCTTTGTCTTACCTCAGCAATGCTGATGTGTCTTTGGCATGTTGAGATGATATCTATCAGATCAGACACCAGTGGGGACTTAAATGGGAACTAGGCACTTAGATTATCAGACTGGGAAGCTTT